TGCATCCGTTTTACAGATCTGACTCATTTGTATGCAGACTGCTGGTTCTTTGCCTCCCAGACAGATGCACTCTGACTTCGAAGGAAGATCCTAATTATTAGACTCTTACAACATGATTCTTTGTAGGCAAACTATCAACGCTACAAATTCGTCTTGAAAATCAAGAGCTAGATTCGTGTCATGTCCGCTTGTTCGTTGTCGATGCCGATATAGTTAGCTAAATTAGATATTATTCGAATATCTTTGTCTGCTTGAGGTATCGACCTCCGGGTATGATCGATTCTTTTGTCATCTCGACCTTGTTTGCCTTTAACTTCTGGAACAACAGCTGACCGTCATAACTAGCGGTCCGATCAATTCTTTCTGTCAGTTTGCACATTGTAGATCCTGTAGGTTTTTTTCATTTCTACTGGTTTACACAAAGCAGATTTCATGTTTTGTTGTTGTTGTTGTTTGTTTGTTCCCTCGTAGTGAATTTCCTACTTTCAGGTGTGTGTGGTTTTAAATGATTCGCGCATTTGTTGCTTTCTATATAGATTTCTTGCTTTTGTTGTCTGCGTGTATGTGTGCACACGCGAGCGCGTGAATGTATGTGGTTTTCATTTTCATGCAATTCATCATATGTAATTTGTTTTATTGATGTGTAGTAAGCAGGGCAAAGTGTGAGGCGGGCCTATGTTCTTAATTCTTAACCTTTTCAACAGAAAATTTGTTAATTCGTTTTCAACAGTATTTTCAAATCCGACAACTCGTGTATGCAGTGACTACGTCCTGTGACGCGCATGCGTGTGTTTTGTCTGCAGAATGTGAGACACTTGCAACAACATTTAGTGTTTACGGTAACATTAGCCTAGTCAAAATACATAGTAGCTATTGTTTATCACAACTTGATCTTCTGTGGGATGGTTTATATTCAAGGCTAGTGCATGAACTGAATATTGAAGATGGTTGGCTATTAAAGAAAAAACACAGAAAATTGTAATATGTTGGTCACGTGAAACGTCACAAAAGTTTAGAGAGAACAAAATAGAGGGGTATATCCCTGGGAAGAGAAGTAAGCGTTTGGTTGTGTATCCATCCCGTCTTTCCCTTGGGTGTTTAACGTCGGCCAGATCCCCTGGTAACTTCTCACAGCACCATTCTGCTCAGACCTTAATGCTCCATCTGCGCCTCTGCACTGTTCGCCCATTCCCATGAATTCACCACCAAGTGGTGCAGAGCCAGCAAGCTATCTGCCTGCTCATTTTCCAAAAGACCAGCATGACCAGGAGAAAATATCCAAAGAATGCTAACTATCCGGGACCTCTTAAGTAATGCTTGCCACTCTGCACGAAGCATGCCTGTTTTCACCTTTCTCAACATGCTCTGTAGGTCAGTTACTAACTGTCCAATGGAAACCAAGATGTATGGAACAATGGAAGAGGTGCGTCGCACTACAGAATTAACAGAGACATGTGGAATGGCGAAAGGAAGAAGAAATGGAAAACACATGTAGTCAGGAAATGGCTCTAATACGAATGCTGAAGAAGAGGTCTAAAGTAGTAGACTAGATTCCATCGATGACATTGAAGCAAGTTGTCCATATGATGTCTATTCAGCAAACACACAGAACTTAAGATCTTAAACTTCTGTTTGATGCAATGGTAACTTATGGATGCCAGAGTTGGAAATCAACGGTAGTTCTAGATAAAAAAAAAAATTGACAATTTTGAGACCAGATATCTTAGAAGTATACTAAATTTCCACTTGACAGATTTCAAATCCAATACTTGAATATTACAAACCAACTTTATAAGAAATCGTCGCTGGAACTATATGGGCCATGCACTCAGAATGAACAAGACCAGAATCCCTCCCCCTTTCAATTCCCTTCCCTCATATGGACATCATACTGGAAAAGAAAACGGGAAAAACCAAGAGAAACTGTGTAGAACCGTAATCAGAGACGACTCAACCATGAGCCTAATGAACATCCACGACCTAAAGATGGTAACGTACCGCCAGACATGGAGAGATATGACATCTGCCCTATGTGCCGCACTAGGTTTAAGAGGACAGACTAACTAACTAACTAACTGTATGATGTCTACCGGTACAACACAAGGAGAATGACATTTAGCCTGAATTTACCCGGAAACCCATAGCAGTTTTGAAAATTCGCCTTTTTGTGGATTCAATCCTTCACCCATGAAACCTGTTGGCGAGCCTGCTCGCCAATGAGCTACCACTGATGGCTCTGACTGGTAGGAATACTTCCTGACAGAAATCCAGCCAGCCCCGACTGTCTCTGTGAAGAGCCTCTCTTGGTGTCTTCATGTCTGCAAGGATCACGCTGGAACTTGACAATGATCCAGGATCACAGAGGAGTTCTATTGATTTACCGTCTGGTTTATTTAAGTGCCGATACGAAGTGAGGTCCCTTCTTGTTTGTTTAAGTGCCAGGACGTGCTTAAGTGAGTTCCTATTTACAGTAGTTAAAACTGCGTTTAGGCATAGTTTTGGAGACTTGTGTAAAAAAAAAAAAAAAACGTACACAAATTCTCACAAAGGACCTAATGTGTATAGACAAGTTATTCCCAAATTGTACACCGCCCCCCCCCCCCGGGAAACAGCGACCTCTTTACAGGGGTGCCGCGAAATATTCGAAGATACATGAGTTTTATAATTTTTTTTTAAGCTCTTACATACGAATAGTCATACTTTGACTTCTGTTAGGGCGCCGTGGACAATTTGTTATTGAAAAAAAGGGGCTACGACTAAGACAAGTTTAGGAAACACTGGTGTAGACCAATAACCGGCACTCTATTGGGGATATAATCAACAAACTCCAAGGAATAACTAAAACCGTTAATTTGTTTCAATCATTGTGAACTTGTCTAAACGTTTCGACAAATGTATAGTTCAATGGGGGATAGTGGACCGCAACAAGTTTTAGGTACCAGGAAAGTAAATAGGCAATAAACACAGTCTAAGGCACCCACGCTCCCCCGCCCCCTCAAAATAAAATAATAATAATCAATAAAGAGATTTGTTCAACTAATTCAGTTACATAACTTTAACCAGATACGGACTCGAACTCAAAACTTATGTACTGTCAGCAAAAGATCTAGCCATTGCGCTACTGCACCGTATATATTCAATCAGTCCAAAGATGTAATGGTGTTTCAGCATCAATCAGTCCAAAGATGTAATGGTGTTTCAGCATCAAACTGTCCGTAGCAAGTCACGGGGCCTGTTTGGCTTTTATCATTTCCAATGAGAATTCCAGCAACCACTGAATAATTCATGGTGCTAGATCTCATCTGATTCCCCCCCCCCCCTCCCTTTCCTGGCAGTTTCGCGAACCAAACCTGTGATTACAGTGATTGCCTGAAGTTAGCTTATAAAATTTTCAGTAGCTAATTCACACAAGTGGGAAAGCAGCCTTGGTTTAGCAGTTTGTCGCTTGCCGGTGGATTCGAACGTCGTGGGTTCAAATCCGAACAGAGCGAGTTATTTCAAGAATTATCTAGACTTCCAGGTCGACACAGCCATAGATTGGTGCCAGATGAAATCCTGGGAGGTAAAGGCGGCCGGCGTGATGTTGATCACTACCCAACATTCTAACAGTAGCAGTTCCAACCTGATTAAAATTCCACTTATGTTTCCCTCTCAATGAGAGGTAGACCAAGAAAAAGCGTGGAACAATAACATCTGAACAAAACTCTAGAACTTACAGTGTGTCTGTAGTCGACGCGGGTAGAAATTCTATAAGCAGAACCTTATGTCTCCGTCATCATCCAAAGCGGTGAAAGAGGAAGTGGAGAAGGAAGAAGAGGAGGAGGGGGAGGGGAGGAGGGGAAGGAGGAGGAGGAAAAGAATAAGAAAGATGAGGAACAGTAATTTCTTTAGTAATGAAAGAGATAATGATTTAACTAATCGTTTTTAAATAATCCACAGATTTCAACCGCTGTCACCCCCAGCAACGTGTGAGACATCGATTAGCATTGTCAAAGGTAACAATCACAAGCCTTCCACAAAAGCTATCAGAACATGCCGACCGACAAATGGCCAGAATTTAACCCTGTTCAAAGCCTATTATAGAATGACAAAGCAACTGAAAGCTGCTTTTGAATCTCCTTGGGTCAAGTGCCCATTTCTCTGGCGTCATGCTCTGATCCCTTGTTTCTGTTCTGGAGTATTTACCCACGGTCATTGGTGTTGTGAAATGCTGCTATGAAATGCTTGAGTTCGTTCGGATGCAGATTTTTAGCAGCACAATGTAATTTCCATGACGTGAGCGTTTTATCGTGTTCTTTGTGGAAGTTAATAGATTCTGCTTGAATTTTCGTATGTTTTTATAATGTAAATGTCCTTTAAAAAAGTAAACGAAACTTTTATTGATGGCAGTGGTACATCGAACATATAAGACTAACTCATATTTAGTCGGGGTGCTTTAGATAAGGGACCACTGTGTTAAAGTATTAACATAAACTTTTCAAAATAAAAATTAAGACGAAACAAAAAACTTTTGCTTATAGTATAGAAATCAAAAAATGATTCTGCTCATAAAGATTCTTTTATCCAACATACAGCTTGATATCTACTATTCACTACGTGGTTATTAATCTGACTTGATTGGTGTATCGTATGTACTTTATCTTCAGTTTCACTTGGATACTGTGATTCCTAGTTCTTAAAAACGCAGTATTTTCATTACCTTCAAATTTCAAATCCAACTTGGGGGAAATTAAATAAGTAAATTATCCTAAAAATGACCTTACAGCCAAAATAGAACCGATTAAACATCTTTTAACAGATGAGTTAACAGTCTGATGTGGCAAACGTTCAACTGGCTGTAAGTTTTCTTGAAACGGTCTTTAAATTTGGTCCATACAAGTACTATTCAAATTCAACATGGCTGAGGGAGACTTAAATCTGTGAAAATTCTAAGACGATGTGAGTTGTGATGAATATTATTAATAAAATGCTGCCATAGTCCTTATCAAGAAAAAATCATCATGCTGCACATAAACCAGCGAATGCGGCTTGTAACTTTATGCCTTCTGACTTGTATAAACATCGTCTCCTCTGCTTCGGAGACAACAACAACAACAACAACAACAACCATATACTCAACTTCGACGGTGGCGCCACTGCAAAAATCTGTGCCGGAAGCAAACCTAACCATGGGAGTCGCCTCGCCTGAATTCTACCAAGACGACGACGATCCTGACTTTACAGTGGAAACGTTCGTCACCATTTTAGTGACTCTGCTGATTATTTTGACCAACTGTACAATCCTCGTGGTAGCAGCCTGGACAGAGGCGTTTACCAACTTCAACACAACCTTTATCTACTCGCTGACGCTGGCCGACTTGCTGATCGGCATCTTCATAACCCCGTACTCCATTTTCCTGTCAGTCTACAGAAAATGGGTCTTCACCAGGTGAGTTGTTGGTGTGCATTAGTGTTGCAGAATCAACTCCAGCAGCCCCTGGCTGTTGTGTGGTTTCTCTACGTCCAGTAGTTTGCCATTGCTTCCTGGACGGTCAGCGCCCCCGATACCACTGTCGAAACCAACGCAAGGCGCATGGCCTGCAGCTGGGATCGAACCCGTCACCCCGGCATTACGAAGCGTTCGCATCGACTTAGCCACAGAGCCGACACATTATTGTAAGTAAGTAAGAAGTAAAGGACCCTTTAGGCGTATAGGGCATATGGGGCTAGACCTATATTTTGTAGACCAATTGGCACAAGATGGGTGATGTGGTCAGCATCACGCCGGCCGCCTTTACTTCCCGGGACTGCACCCGGTACCCGCTCAAGGCTGGGTCGACATGGGAGCCTCCCGATGCGCGGTTAGCGTCTAGCCGCTCTGCCACGGCGACTCCACGTGCATTAGTGTACCCGTTGACATCGGACAGCGGGTTACCGTAGGGCAGGGCTGTCAGATAAGTAAATCCAGGGGCCAAATAGGGAAATGGGTATCGTCGCGACCAGAGCTCCAAGACCCAGCGTATAAAAATCATTTTTACAGTCCAGGTAGCAGGTGATCCGAGGGCCACTCGCCAGCCTCTGCGGACCTGATTTAGCTCGCGTGCCGCTTGTTGAATAGCCCTGCCTCAGTGGGTCCCGAAATAACTGTTTTAAATGGTTGGAAATTACACTGTGTTCCTACTGGATTTGTATAACATTATTTACTAATTACTAGGGCCGTATATTCACTTCGTATTTGCTTCGGGGCCGAATAGTGGACCTATTGACTATTCGGTATTCGGCCGAATAGTTGCGGTCGGGCCAAATACGAATAGTAATTACCTTACACCCGCTTCTGCATACACGGCCTTAATACTGACTACATGGAACGATTGGTTTTGTTGAAAGCTAATGCAGCTTTCATGCATTAACTAAGCTATCAGTGACAATTTCCAAGTTTAGTGTCTTGTTATAATACTTAAGATTATTTCATTCCTAGTTTTTAGTTACCACAGACTGACTGAAGGATGCAAAACATAAAATGTCTTTAAGTGTTTACTATTCTGTATGAATACTAACTAGACATGGAAAGAATATAAACTCCGGTCACATCCAAGTCGATAATATGAAAATCAAACGAACGGAAACATATAAGTACTTGGGGGCAATCTTCAACTGCTCCAACATGCTGAGAGAAGAAATGCAATCTAGAATACAATCTAGAAATAAAGTATACTATGCCCTTCAACATCTGCTGAAGTCCACTTTTCTGTCTCGCAACACCAAGATCAAAATATATAAAACGTTGATAAGACCAGTCGTGTTATATGGCTCTGAAACAAGTAGAAATGAAAAAAGATAAGGCCTTATTACAGGTTTTCAAAAACAGTCTGCAGCAGTAAACCTCAAGGGCTCAGAATGCTAAAGAAGAAGATGACTATTCTAGGCTACTTTATGTGAAGTAAAAGTTCAGCGTACATTTGACATTATGAATGTGTGTGTGTGTGTGTGTGTGTGTGTGTGTGTGTGTGTGTGTGTGTGTGTGTGTGTGTGTGTGTGTGTGTGTGTGTGTGTGTAGATATATTTCATACACTATTCACTTTTCGTATTCGTATTCGGCCGAATAGTTGGTCCCGTTATTCGTATTCGGCCGAATAGTGAAAATCCCTATATATGTCAAACGGATGCACACGCAACACTCATGTTCTGGAACTGGAAGTGGACGAACAACCAGAACTTTCCACTAGAGTTTACACTTGGTGAACGCAAAGAAGAAGAAGAAGAAGAAGAAGAAGAAGAAAAGGCTTTCTTTTGGAAGAACGGAGGACACCGCGCGAGGTTGGCCGGATCACGGCCGACTCTATTTCTGGAGAAAGCTGTGGCCGGAGAAAAGTGCAGTCTAGGGTCATAAATGTGATTTCGTAAAGACAGAATCGATGGGCGGGGAAAATGAAGAACCCAAAGCTTTGAATGTAAACTCTGCAGACGTAGCTTTTTGTTGCTTAGCAGCCAGACGATACTGAGGGGCTAAAGAGGGGGCGTCCTTGAAACTTGCGGTTCCCATGTTTGTGTGATCTGGGGTCTTTTTACTTTACAAAGTCATTTGTCTAGTGGACGAGAATCAGTATCACCATCATCCTGTTGCGGACGCCACCTTGGTGTAGCCGTTAGACTTGTTTCTTATTTCAGTGCCTGGCTTGTAATTATGTATCCTGTTACCATGACGGACTAGTTTAATGCTATTGCATTTCTCTAACAATTGTTGATTCATTCATTTTCCTGTTGTGCTGTTGTCTGTCGCATCAGGCACACAGTCTATTCCTTTCCTCTGTTCCTTTCTATCCTGTGCAGGCAGTTCAATATCATGGATGGAATCCATTCCAACAGCTTTGGCCTCTCTCATCGACATTCCTTTTGGGGTTTCTTCTGGGCGTTCCGTCCCCCTTAATCCTTTTACTTCTTATTTTAATACCTGTTTTGTGATTCTCTACTTTCTTCTCAGGATGTGTCCAGTGTAGTGCCATCTTCTTTGTTTTATAACTGTTATTACTAGTGGTTGCCCAGACATTCAGTGACTCTTGATAACAGAGATCTAACTTATTTCTTCGTATATCTTGAATTAATCCCACGTAAGTCTTATCAATTTTCCCACTCGTTGTTTATGAATACATTTCAGTTTTATTTCATGATGAGGCAAAATTAAAGAATTGAATTTGCAATGGAAGGAAAAGTTTAGGCTTTTCTAATATAGAGCAGAAGTGATATTACTTTATCTGAGCTCATAAATAACCGACATCACAGCACTCGTGGTATTCACATAAGCGCTCCGTTCCTATTTTCAGCAGCCAGCGCTCCATCTCCATCTTTAGCAGCCATGGGAAAACATGCTGCTAATCCAGTCCAATTTGTTCAGAACCAACATCGTAGTACTTGGGGTATTACCATAATCACTCCGTCACAAACTTCAGCAGCCAGCACAAAGTTCCAAAATTAATGGTGCCATTTATTAACAGTAAATCTTAAAGGACTCTTTTCCGCGTCTTGAGGCGTTTAAGACACATAGGGCTAGACCTATATTTTATAGACCAGTCGGCGATTGGTGGGTTATGTAGTCAGCATCACGACCGGTGCCTTTAATTCCCATGATTGGCTTCTCGTCTAAGCGTCTATTTGATTGTAGGCTGTTTATCTCAGAGCCCAGATCATTGTACGTAAAGTATAATAAAGTAAGAGACTCTTGTCATGTTCTTGGCTCATCTGGCATAAAGTATTTTAAGGTAAGAGACCCTTTTTAAGTTCTTGGCCCATCTGGCATAAAGTATATTAAAATAACAGACCCTTTTCAAGTTCTTGGCCCATCTGGCATAAAGTATATTAAAATAACAGACCATTTTCAAGTTCTTGGCCCATCTGGCATAAAATATATTAAAGTAAGAGACCCTTTTTAAGTTTTTGGCCCATCTGGCATAAAGAGCTAGACCTAAACTTGTATATACCAATCGATGTTTGCTGGATGTTGTGATTACCATCATGCTGACCGCCTTTACTTTCCAGGATATTACCTGGCAACCAATTTTAGGCTGAGAACCAAGGTCAGTTATGAAAAAAATAACTTACTGCGTTTGGATTCGAACCCACAATCTTGGAACTGGTAGGCGAGCATCCAGCCACTATGCTACCGTCGCTCCCACACTATCGCCTGATCGATTAGTTTGTCCTCTCCTGGATGCTACCTCCTGGATGCTACCTAATAGCGTACTATACCATCGTGAAATTTAAAATATCCCTGTCTGGAGGGAAGATCGTCAAGGCAGATTCCATATCCCCTGTTCAGCCTTCAAGAAAGTTATAATTATGGCACCAGTAACATCTACACTAACCAAGTGCAGCCTGCTGTCATATGCAGTTAAGGATCCTCCCACGATACCAAATACAGGAACCTTTTGCTTTCTTTGCCCGCGTCAACTGTCAGTTGGAGAAATGGCTGTTCTCTTGTCAACATTCAGTAACAGAAGCTTCGCTCCAGGAAATCGTCTGCTGGTATAATTAGATTTCAGGAAATGTCCCAGACAGATTCAGGAAATTACCGAGACGGGCTCATAGAGGTGTTCAACATCTCTTCGTTTATGCATTGAGCACTAATGTCCCCGTGTGGGTTCCGAGGCTCCACTGTGGGGGGGGGGGGGGGGACAAGAATGGACTTACTGCCTCCTCAACAAGCATGTCGTAAGAGTCGACTTATTTGGGACATCCTTTAAAGGCGGAGTTTCTTAACAAGCATGTATAAGATTGGACTCATTAGGGACATCCTTCGAAGGTGGAGTACATTTGCCTGAGAGGCAAGGAACTATATGTCTGCATACAAATAAGCCAGATCTATGAACTGATGTTTACCCAGCACTGAGGTGACATTGATGAAGAACGTTGTCGAGAATAGAAATCCAGGGGGAAACAACTGTTGTCGATTCTCTATTCCACGTTAGAAATAAAATAAAGTAACTAATGGACAGCATAGCCCGGAATAGAAATCCGTCGACGGCAATTGTTTTAACGTGTGTCCAACTGAAAAATGTAATCAATTATTAACAAATGGGCAGTCACTTTCAGCAGGCAATAAAAAATGTTTGGTCAGTCAGTCACGTAACTAAATGCCGTTTCCATGGCGGATTGAAAGTATAAACGTGATCCCCGGAGAGATGCAGAAGAGAAATGTCGGGCACTCGAGACGAACGAACGAAAGAACCAACGAAAAAAAGCTTATTTTTAAAAGGTTACAAATTTGGCAAACAGGCCCGTCTGATATTCGGCCCTTTTAAGTACTAATCTTTGAGAGTACCAATGCCTGTTATCAATAATGTGTGTTATGTTTATAATTTTAAAAAAAATACATACATTATATAATAATGCATACACACATCATGTATACACAGCCTTACACACTCAAATAAACAGACATATACACGTACACAT